CGCTCTTTTCTCCATTTGTTGTTTATGTGTTTATTTAAGAAAGAAAAGAGTTGTAGATTTGAAATATACCACAAATATTTACTTTTACTGTGATGATACAAATGTGATGATTATTCAAACATGTATATCACCGAAAATATCTCCAAAAATTTTGATTTTTACTTTTTTTAAAAGATTTCGTAAGAATCTGGGGAAGATCTCTGGAAAATTTAAGCTATATAATATGGTCGTGCTGCATATTATTAAAAAAGCTTTTGTTAGGAAACTTTTCCAAAAATATAGACCTAGTTACGCCGTCTTTGTTTGCAGAAGATTTCTTGAAAGAAAGTCTTAAAAAATTTCTAAGCTTATATTACATTTAACTTAAAGGTCCAGACAAACTTAAAAATACATGGTTCAATTTCATCTCATTTAAGAATTTATTCAGTTGTCTCTTTAGATGTTTCGAAAAAGATATTGAGTTTCTGTTTTTTATGTGTTTTGTATTGAAGACATTTGAAATAGGCGGGCGTTTCAATTTTGACACATAAAAATTTAATTTTTTATTTATTGTTCCTTGCTGATTTTTCCTTAAATTGTCTTCTGCCTTTTATAACATACAAGGTTCATGGACACAGGACGTTTACCAAAAATGCAAAATTTTTGCGCAGAATATGTAGTATGGTGTAGACTTGCAAATCTACTTTAGTCAGCTGCATACCTTTAATTACAAAACAAAAATAATTTTTCACTTACATTTTGATGTTTCCCTCCTTTTCTTTTTTTAATGCATAATGAAATTTTTGTCTGCATAAATATGTCAAGTTGGTGTCAATTTCGCTGGTTGACATAATGATACAAAGTGATTTTAGTACATTCTTACTTTCGTTAAAAATTCAGATTGTACCAAAATTAAGAATTGACGTAAAATTGACTGGAGATCTTTTATTTTGGTAGACGGGGACAAGTTCAAGAAAAAAAGGATTTTTTTTTTTTCATTAAATTTTAACTATTTTTTTCTAAAATCGAAAATTTAATTTATTTCAACTTGTTTTTTTCCTTATAAATTATAGCAGACTCAAAATCTTAAGCAACATATTTAGAATAATTATTTAAAAAAAAAAATTATTTCTAAAAAACTGAAAATATTTTTTACTATTTTTATTTTTCTTTTTATTTTTAAAATTTAATTAAATTATTAAAAACTAAACAATTTTTAAATTTCTTTTACAATAATTGTAATTTTACTAAAACTAATTAAATTATTTTCATAATTGTAAAATTTAATTATGTACAAAATAATTGTGTAATTTAGAAAATCTTTTTGTTTGATTTGTTGAAATTTACAGAGAGGGTGTTGGCAGGATTAATTTGATTTTTATGGATATTAAGTGAAGTATGCTATAAATATCAATGTAAATATGATTGAGGTAGACTTTAAAAATAAAATGAAAATAAGAATTTTCAAAATAAGGATAACAATAGCAACCAAATTCAAGTTGTATAATGTTTGTTTTGTTTTTATCGTAATTCACAATATTCATTAATTGCAGTAATTATTTATTTACAAAAAAAAATTAAAGAAACTTAAAAATTTTGGCTTTAAAAATTTTTTATATCCCGTACTAATTAAAGAATTTTTGAAGTGAACTGTTGTCAATTTAAGAACAATGCACAGCTACGTGGAAATTACTAAAAATTGTTGAATTTCAAAACCATACTTTTCGAAAAGAAGCGATCTAATTTTCAACCAATATAAATTAAACTTTCTGAATTCCTGCCACAATTCCATTTGTCGCAGGCATGCAATATTAACCATTATATTGCAAATTAAAATAAAAATATTTGATTATTTTACGTTTTCTATTTAAAAAAATTTAAATAAAATCTTGAAATTTTAACAAGTTATGAAAACTCTTTTGTTATTTTTTAATTGTTTTAGGATCTTTTGTAAATTAAATCGAGTTCATTCTAAAAACAAAAAAGTTAATTTTTGCACCTAGTTTTATGCAATTTTAAATTTTTTAGCAGGTTTTAATTGAAAATTTTAATTGAAAACCTTTTTTGTTAAAAAGGAAGAAAAAAAAAAAGAAAACAATTTCTTTGGTACTTAGCTGTTTTCATTATAATTTTTTTTTTTAATTTTATTTTCAGTATATAAAATAAAAATGTCAAATAGAAAAAAATTTTTTTTTTTGATTTCGATTTTATGTACTTAATTTTAACACAAAATATTTTAAGTATCCTATTATAATTTTTTTAAATTTCGCAGTGTTATGTGTCAAAAATGTAGTCAAAAAATTTGTTTGATTTTTCTCAATTAAATCTGTTAAGTAACAAGTGACAGATTAACAGCGATTTTCCGCTGCAAAATATCGAAATGAATTTAAAATACGAACATAGTATATAAAATAAATGAAACTGTTCAGAATGAAATGAAAGTACCGACCCGTACTTTACCGCCGGAAGTAAAATACCATAAAATTATATTTAGCAGTTTGTGGTTTTTTTTTGACATCCATGTGTATGTTGCATGCAAAATATGGAGCAATTGATTTTATCGTTCCGTTGTTGTTCTGGGTAAAAACGGAAATCGTCAGTACTTGTCGCTCACCGCTTTACTTCTATTTTTACCCTTAAAATTTTTGATTTTATTAAATTTTTCTAATTCTTTTTTTAAATTTCTATTTAGTAATATAAATTCAATGGAAATATCTTGTCAGAGCATATTTTATTTACAAACGTCGAAGTAAGTTTATGAAAGAGAGAGAGAGAAAGAGAAATATAGAACCGTCATGGGAAAAGTGATGCAGTACTCAATTTCGAAACTGTGAGGTAATTAAACTCTAAATTTTTAATTCAATACTTATTTGAAGTAAAATTTGCACATAATATTTTCTTTTTGGTAAATTTATTAAATATTTTCATTAATTTGAAATATATAAAAAAAAAAAAAACAATTTAATTTGAAGATTTGTTTTGACATATTATGTCAATTTTTACTTCAACAAACTTTTTGAATTTGTGGGAGAAAATCGAAACCATAGAAAAATTTTTCTTTTGAAATTTATATTTTGTTTTTTTTTTATGATGTTTACATAATTGGTTTACTGCTTTTTATAATTTTATTTATTACAATTTTAACTTAAAAAAATAAAATAAATTATTTATATTTAATGTCTATGTGTTTACGCTTGTTTTTTTTTTAATTTTTTTTGTGTTTAATTTTTAAACAAATATTGAAATAATATTGTGAATGCAAATTTTGATTATAACAATTAACAATTTCAAGACAAAAATTTTTTATAGAAATTTAATATTTTTGAAGTTGGAATTTTTTTTGTGACAAGAACGAGATTTAAATAGTTGCAATAATTTTAATAACACAATGTCAAATCAGGAATAATTAGAAGTAGAAAAAAAATTTTAATCGTTAAGAAATGAATTAGAAATTACTTGGGTAAATTCAAAAATTTTATTTATATTTGACGTTTGTTTTCTCAATCAAATGTGGCTTTTTTTTTAAAATTAAAATTTTTTAAATTTTGTGCGCTTATTTTTATTTAGTGTAGTGAACATAAAGCGTTTCAAATGAGAAACTTAGTAAAATTAAGGAAAAAATTTTTTTCATACAAGATTTTTTTTCCAGATAATTTTTCAATTTTTTTTTTTCTCGTGTGACGGCCGACATCATCTGTCGGTGATCGTTAGAAGTTAAATTTTATTTTATTTTTGTTAATCATCAAAAGTCAAATGTTTTAAATTTCATTAAATTCTTGTTTTAATTTTGTTATTTCTAAAATTAAAAAATTTTTATCTTGAATAACATTGTATTTAATTTTTTTTTTTTTATTTTTGTTTCCTAAATGTGAATTAATCAATTTATAATAAGCTTAATAATTTAGAACAAAAAAGTATTAAATTAAGATTTTATTTTACAAAATCAAATTATTAATTCTAATTTTATATTTGTATTTATAATTATAATTTTAATAATTTATTTTTTAAAACTTTGGTTATAAAGACTACATACTTAATAATTTTATAACTAATATATTATTAAATTAAAATTTTATTTAAAAATCTATTTGAAGTTGTGTAAAATAATCTGTGTGTTTTTAACGAAATAATTGTAAATTAATTTTTGATTTTGAAGAGCAAATAATATTTTTATTAAAAATTAATGGCATTTTGTAATGTTACGTTAATTTTATTCTTGTATTTAAGTATTGCGTTCGGCATAATATTGTCTTAATTTCTCAATATTATTTTGTTGTGTTAATTTAGTTTGTATTTGTCAAAATTGAAATTTATCAATATATTGTCAGATGTGAATTTGTTAACTGTAAATTTTCTTAATTTTAATTCACTTGTCCAAGTGAAAGTATGATATTTTAGTTCAATTAAGAGAATAAACTTTTCAGTGCTGTCATATTAAAATTTAGTGTAACTTTACAATGATAAACGCAATCATGTAGTATCAGGATTACTTTTAGTTGGGCAAGTGTTACAATAATGTTTTTGTTTCTAAATTGCCATCTAATGTGAAATTTGTTAATTGAATATTGTAATATTTGTTTATTAAAACTTTTTTTTGTTTTTGTAAAATCTCTTTGGGAATTTTTTCTATTTTTCTCAAAACTCACATAAAATGTGGTAACATTCTGTATTTTTTTTTTGTTTTTATTCCAAAAATTAATTCTTTGGTGTTTTAATTAATAAATATTTGTGGTTTAATATTAGTGATAACGAAAAAAGTTCCATAAATTTTTATTTTTTTTTTATATTACGGAATTAATTGTTATTTTTATTTTTATATACTCCATTTATCAAAGTTTTCTATACAAAATTAAAAAAAAAAATATCTGAATTATGAGATTTAATTTGTTTTTATAATTTTCTTTCAAATTTTGTTTAATGAATATAATTTTATATGTACAAACATTTTGATAAATTTATAGGTAAATTAATAAAAATATTATGACATTTTATTTAATTGTCACATAACAAAATTGTCATATTCAGCAACTACTTGTCACTTCAATTTTTGTAACCATATTATATTTATTATCATCTAAACTTAAACCAGAAAAATTTTCTTCGTGACGGCTTTCACGGTGTCGTCTTAAATCGACTTTACGTTGAAATGATTGATCACATAATCCGCATGCAAATGGTTTATATCCAGTATGCTTTCTCATATGTGTTATTAAATTAGAACTTTGGCTAAATGCTTTCAAACAAACTGTACATTTGTGAGGTTTCTCACCTGTAAAAAAAAAACAAGAAATTTTGTAAAAAGAGAAATTAAATGAAAATTGAAATTAAAAGAACAATAATTTTCGTAGACCATTTGTAGCATGCAATATGAAATGGTATTGTGATCGTACTAAATTGTTTTTAATGATTTTTGTAAATTTTGGTGTTCCAGTTTTATTTGAATCGATTTGCTTCACATTTATGATTGAGTGAAGTTTTGTGTCAAAAGAATTTGAATTTCAAAGGTAGTTCAGATTACTTTAGGTAATTATAACTGTTAAAGCTGGATTATTGTAACGTACGCCCCCTTTAAATTATGGAATGAAATTTAAGGAAGAGTCAACGGATTTGCTTGCATGAGCTATATTCTTCGAAAGAACGATATAAAAAATGTTTAAAATATGACTGGAAAATATTCAACGACGTCGGTCATGTGCTGTTCATATCTGCAGAGTTTTTGTTTTCTTTAACTAATCATACATTACTAAATTCAAATATTTTATGTTTATTGCCGATTGAATTGAAGTACGGCAAATGAATAAAAACTGTCAACAGATTTATTTTAATAAAAAATTATAAAAATATTAATTGAAATTTCCAATGTGACATTTTGACAATTCACAATGTAAAGAAAAATATCGATCTTGTATAAAACTGTTATATAAAAAACTGTTATACAAATTGCAATATAACAGTTATATTACAATTTGTATAACATTTATTACAACAAAAATTTCATAATATATTATTGCAATTCAAAATGCAAATCAAAAATTAAAAAAAAAATTAATATTTAGTAACGTATAACTTTAATGCTTCAATTAATGTAATTAAATCAGTGATTAAAATTATAACACTTAATGTGATTTTTGTTATCTATCATCGTTATTTTATTATTATTAACCCTCCTATCTACATATATACAGCTTTAATCATTTTAATTCAAAAACGAATATAAATTATAGAAATACACGCAAAATGACATATACATTAGTGTTCTTCGCGTTTGGAAGTAATTTAAAACGATTGAGTGATTTTTATTGAAATTTGATTGTAGTAATTCAAATTCATATACATACATATATACATATGTTAAACTATTAAACGACGTGGCAGTAAATTGAAGTGTTCCATTTAAAGACATAGAAACATTTTAACCGTATAACACTTTAGGTGTTTAATATTCATTTGCTTTATAAAGGACCTTAATTACACCCGTTTATATAAAGGAGTACTCGAGAATTGAGAAAGATAAAGAGTTAGCTATGCGCATTTTTTCCGGTAGAAGATAAATATCAAATTTTTTATAATTTAGGTTGGTTCTTATTTGTTCTATACAAAATTTATGTACAAAATAACATTCCATTTATAAAGTTTGCACTTTCCAACTTCTCCGAAGTAGTTTTTAGTTAATATTGTTTTAGATGAAACGGAATTTCCGTGTATTTCTAAATACAATTTTGCTCTGAACGTTTTGCAGCATTTGGCATTGGTTTTAGTGTGTTATATACCTTATTAAGTAAAACAGTATATATCAACCGTCGGCAAATTTTTGTGGGTTATAGACAAATATGTACTATGTGAGTGTGAGTATAGGCCATTGAAGTTTTTTACATTACATACAAGAAATATGACTTACTTACAAGAAATATGACATTTTCAACTGACATTATTGATTATTTGTTTTGACACATAATAAATACGTATGAAATTTTAATCAATTCTATGATTTAATTCTTAAATTTTTTTTTGAAAACTTTCAATAGTCGCAATCGAATATATTTTTCTCTTGCAAGCAGTATAATGGGCAACATTTTGAAGTACAATGAAGTGGGCCGTATTTTGCCGACGGCTGATTGTTGAATTTGGTTGGTGTTATAACAATATTAATGTGGTCCATTAATTGTTTGAAAAAGTATTTTGGCCAGTTTAATGCTATAACTATGTCAACTCTGACAATTTATTTGAATTTATTAAAAATGTCGTAAATGTCGTAATTTGTTAAAAAATGTCATAAGTTATAAGAAATAGTTAAAATTGCCTCATTTAAAGATGTCCTTATAAAATTTATTATATTTCTAGAATATTCTGAAAAATTTTACAATATTCAATTTTCATATTTCAATTATTACAATCTATATGACGCCATATATGTATAAGAATGTAATTTTTATGATTAATTTCAAAATCCTTTTATAAAAATTATTTCGCCGCGATTTTAATGTTTGAGCATAATTAGAAGAAAAAAAATTCCCTAATTTATATAAAATGTTTTTTTTTTTGCTTTATTGTCTTCGTAATTTAATTCCCATATTATTAAAATGCATTATTTATTTAAACTTGTTGCTGCAGTGGCAGTTATCGCTTGAATTGTTTTTAAATAAGTTGGGGTCATATCATCAGTATAAAACAAGGAATTTGATTTTTTTGAATTATTAAAAGTTTTGATTCAATCTAATAACATTTAAGGTACTTAAATTTTTGATTCAATAGCGAATTCGAAATGTACTAAAGTAAAATGTACTATACGTACAGCTTATGATTCAGAAAATTTAATTTTACTATTAATGTACTTCAAAAATTTTAATGAATTGTTAGAGAATTTCTAGAGAAATCATGAAAATATTAAAATTTTCAATATAAAACAGTTGTTAAAAATCTCATATTAAATTGTAATTAAAAAAATAAAGTTTTTTTTCAGTAGACAAAGTTTCTTATATAATTTATGAGACCTTTGATTTGAATCGTAAAACTTAATAATGATTTTTTTTAATGATTTTTAATACAAAATAAAATTTGTATTTTTGTTTTTGATTTTTAAAATTAATTATAACTATTTATTAACAAGTTTCTTTTACTTTTCATTACTTAAATGTGTCTTGCCCCCTTCGAAACTACTCAAATTTCATGTTTGAAAAAATTAAAATATTAAAAAATAAAATATTCCACCTGTATGCCTTTGTATTCAACCCTTTTTTTTCTTATTTTAATAACTTTATATTTTTTTTCCTTTTTCAGGATATTAACGTATTAACAGTATGTAAATATATTAAGGGACATGGCTATTATGCAAGGACAATAATAATTACTTTAATTTACATTAAAAAGCGGAAGGGATTTACGATACAAGGATAATAAATATGTAATTTGTTGAATTTAGAGTTGTTAAGTTTTGAAGTGATTTTCTTTTTTATTATAGATTGTTTTTGTTAATGATTTTGAAATGTAAATATGTTACAAATGAAAAATTGGGAAGTGCATGATATAATTATAAAACGAAAATTTATTAAAAGTAAGTTAGTTATACTTACTTCACTTTTTGAAAAAATTGTTGAATATTGTGAATATTTTTAAATTCGGTGCAATACTAATATTTTTTTGAAGATTCTAGTTTTAAGAAAAATTTTGATGGAACAGTTAGTAAATTTATAATTTGAAAAATTGCATACTTTGAGGCTAATAACAATCTTGTAGTCTATTAATTTACTTTTCTCAGATAAAAATTATTTTGAGCTAAATCCAGCAATAACAAAAAAAAAAGTAAAGGCAAATAATTTTTTCAGAAATTTTTACCAATAAAAATATTAAGTCACTCATTTGTCAATCACTACTTTTCTCTTTGAGTCTTATGTCATTTTATATGAAACTCGAATTCGCTCAATAAACGACCACTTTTTGTTAAAAATTTATAGAAATTTTTATTGTTCTAAAATTTGAACCATCAGTTAAAACTCTACTTTTAAAAACGGAAACGATAAAGATAATTCTGTCATTTTAAAATATAAAGAATAAATATGTCATTGTTCTGCCATCTTTATTTGAAGTGTCAAAATAATGTTATAAATTAAATGAATTTCGAAATTTTTTTTTCTGACGGTGAGAACGAATTTCTTGCTCTGAACGTTACTCTTTAAAAAAGCGAACATGAATTAAATTTTTTGACAGATCTGGTCTGATGTTAAAAACGGAGGGCGTCTCAAACATATCGACCGGTTATCAAAATGTTTAACCTGTTTACAGTTATCATTGCTTTCATAATTTTACGAATTCTAATTACAATTTTAATAATCATCTGGTTCTTTAAAAGCAAGTGTGAAAAAATAATAAAATTGATCGAAAATACACTGTTCTAAATTGTTATATTTTAAATGTTCAATAGTGTGTAAAATGTCAGATATGTCAATTATATAATTGTATATTAACATTAACATATCATGTTTTGATTACTAAAAGGTTTCAAACAAGGATTTGTATACATACATTTGTTAACAACAAATCACATTTACACATTCACATATACATGTGTATTTATATTGTATTCTTTTTGGCATTACTATGTATATGTAATTCAAGCAAAGAATAACAACAAATCACTTAAAGTTATAAAGTAAAATATAATAAAAATTTTATTATATACAATATAATAAGAGGGGAAAATCATAATAATATGAAATCCGTGACTGATCTTAAATTGTAATAAATGGGGGAAATTTTCCCTCATTTTATTTTTTAAATCAACATGGAACAATTATACCCAATTTGTAAGAATTTTATTTTTTGTTTTCTTGTGTCTTTTTTCTTATTTTCTTAAGTATATATTTGTATATAATAATACTATATGTATGTAAATAATTAAATTATAATTTGTTTAAACTTACCTGTATGAATGTACGTATGTTTTTTCATATCAGATTTTTGATGAAAACGTTTACCACAATATTGGCACGGATATGGTCTTGTGTCACTATGAATTAATAAATGTGTTGATAATGTTGATGATCTTTTGAATGTTTTACCACATTGTTTACACTGTAAAAACATAATATTATAATTTTATATACATAGAATATAATTTTAATAGTAATATATTTATTAAAATATTTGTATAATTTATAAGTGGGTAAATATAAAGTACATTTGAATAAATAATAAATTTAAGTTAGTATTATATTTAATAATTTGGTTTGAAAATTGTACAAATTATTTTAGAAATTGATTAAAATATTTTCAAATACTTATATTTTATAGTTATAAGTTTGCGTATATTAACTATTGATATTATATAATCGTATGGTTAGATTAAAATTTAAATATTGGAAATTAATTATTGCCTATAAATACAAATAAATCTAACATCAATTTTAACTATTAATTTGGATTGTATTAAAATATTGAAAGTTGAAATTTAAATATAAACATAGTCCGTAATCGGAAATGTCATTTGTCAAAGTGGTATGCTAACAAATTAAATATTTGCAACTTATTCAGTTTATTAAAAATTGACAACCATTTTACAAAACACACTTCTGATGACGGTAATAAATGTTCCACAAGCAACAAATCTAACAAAAATTTGTCTAACATTTAACTTTGATTGATTTAAATTAACATTATGCGGCGTGAAATTGGTGTTAGTTATGATTATTCGAACGTGTTGTCAGAAAATTCGCATTGAGTTCGTATTCGTGTTGAGTTCGTACAAATAGTTTGAGAGAAAAAAAATCATTTATACAAATATCACAGTCACTCAATTTAATATTAGCAATTTCTTTAGATTAATTATATGCTACTTATTATACAAATACAAAATTTAATCTATTGCTAATTTTCATTTACGAATCCAAAAAAAAATATCGAACGCAAAAACTTCAAAAGATCACAAATGCTATTAATCATCATTATAATGATATGAGAGACAAAGCAAAATTTCCTTGCAAAAAAAAAGAAGAAAATAAAATGAAAAACAAAAACTAGATCATCATTATTTGATTATTACAATCATCACCACTATCCATATATGTATATATGTGCATATATATATATATTTGTGTACATAAACAATACAATCAGTTGGAAATCCCAGCTTAAATATGGTATTTATTTGCATAATATGATATATTAATGTGCATGGATATTTTACTAGGTACTTGTTATTGTATTGGAATAGTGTTGCCGTCAGATAAATTTCTCAAATAATGAGTGTGATTAAAAATAAAATTATATTTTCAATTATATCACTCAGTATACCAGAAAGAAACCAATAATATTCCGATCTAATAATAATCAAACTTAATTTCTTATCATTTTAGCGAATTTTAAGTGAATAATAGCTTATCGAGCTGCCATTTTTACATTGCTGTAATTTTGATTTTATTTCGAAAATAACTGAAAATTGAGACCATAATAATTAATATTCAAGTGTATAAATTTGGTTATGTTAAATTTATTTTTTATATGTGACATAATTTGATAAAAACATATAGAATTTTCATTTCATTGTTATTGCCATATTGTTTTAACAATTTGTATATGTCACGCAACTTAATATAATAAATTTACTATATTTTTATTTGAGAGTTAACACTATATGAAAACGAATCACTTAATCGGAAATTATGTACATAATATACTTGTTGCATATCAGCTTAAATAATTCAATTTTATTATAAATGAAGATTTTTAAAGTTAAAATATCGCACACGTATTAATGTTTGTTCCGTTTCGAAATGTTCCTATATTTTATTTTCTGTTCTAAAGACTCTTTTTTTTTTGTAATAAACTATAAAAACACAATAAATCTATTAATTAGCTGTACTATATACTGTTATTATCTAAAAAAAAAGGAAACCAGTTTAAAAGAAAATAGCTGTCATCATCATAAAATATACACATATGCACATATTATTATTTATTAGTCTTTATTTGCATACATTTATACATACCTACAAGTATAACAAGTACGAGTACATACATAAAATTTTGAATCTATACTTTGTTTCAAAATAAATATGTATTACATCCGGAATTTTGACAACTTTTTATTATGTTTGTATAACATGTGTTTGTATACATGTATATAATTTTAATATTTAGCTACTTGAATTACTCGCTCTTTCCGTTTTCTTATTATTATTGGTTTTTTGTTCTTTTTTTGTTTGTCCTTCCACATTTTTATTGTTTGTCATAAAGATCACTAATGATTTGTTAGATATTCTTTTCATATATCGTTTTGTTTGGTCTGTGAGACCTTATTCAATAAGGTCTAAAAAATCTACAATGAATAGATGCGTGTTCAGTAATGAATTTTTTTTTTTAGAAAAATCTGTTTTTACAAAGTAGTGTATAAAATCTGTTTTGAAGATGTTTTCGTTTAGAATTATCGAAGAACAAATTCTATTCGTATGAACTTTGTTTTTCTTTAAAATGAGATTTAATTTCAAATAATAATTTTTCAATAAAAAATATAAGATTGAGTGTAAGTTCTGTAAGACATCCACCGGAATAATGTGCGAAAATACTCACTTAGAAACTACTTTGTAAACACTGTGTATAGGCTGGTGTGGTTTTGAATCTGTATTACAAACCTTGAATATTGTATGTGCCCCAAATAGAAGACTATTACTCATTGCAACTTTGAAATTATTACTGTTACCACCGTCTTCATCGAACTTGTTGTATTATATTTTTAAATCATAAACATATGACATTTGTTGTCATATATGACATATGTCAAATAAATTTCAAATAAATTTCAAAATAATTTAAATACCGCATTCATTTAATTTCTGATATAAAATTTATGAAATATTTCAATTAAGCACTTTACAACAAAAATCGTTCGATTGTTGATTATAAAGCGTTTTAATAAACTGGACGTACTTATAGTCGCATGTCACAACTTTATTAGATATGTTTTGTAGATGGAGAAAAATAATAGTTTAAATAAAATATTTGAAAAACTAAGATGAACAACATAACAAAAAAAATTCTTTTATTCTTCATAACATTTTTATATTTGGGGCCGACCACCTTTCTCATATATGCAATCATACAATATTAATATATTTGAATATATACGTTAATATATATATTTGTATGCACATATTTTATAAAAGAATTAATAACAATAAAAGATTTTTTTCTTCAACAAGAGACACTTGAATCAATATTACTTATGCCTGGTTTGATTGTTCATATTTGTAACTGTTTTTACTTCTTTTTTTGGTTGCTGGTAACCTACCTACATCATTTACAAGTAAGTATTTTAGGTAAACATAAGTATAAGTATAAAATTTGTGTATCACATGTAAATACTTTAAAAAATACCACGTTTTCCGCTAATATTTACATTTTGTAAATAATCTAGTAAATTGTGTGCAGCTTAATAAATAAAACATATTTTTTTTTTGTAAAGTATATGATTTGAATATTTAATATTGTAAAGAAATGAAATAAGAAAAAGTAGTAATATGAAAATTTTAGGATGCTTTGAAAATTAAACCGTATTTAGAATAATCTGGGATGCAATGATTTGCCTTTGGAAAAGTCCCAGCTTCTTATAATTAAATTGAAAAATAACCTTTTGGCATTGATTAATTTATTAATTTGGAATCTGTATCAAGAATATAGTATTGAATTCTATATGGCAAATTAAAATTTTATTAATTTTGGGTATTAAAATCGTGTACAGAAATATGTCCTAATTCTTAAACTCCGAAATAAATAGAAGTGTATATTTCCAGGCGCAATTTTATGACTACCATAATGAATTTTATGAAAAATCAATTTTGAACTCTTTGTCAATAAGGTTCATTCTGCGAATGTTGATGTCGACCAGTAAATTTCTAAATTTATTTAGTCTGAATTTTAATTTGATCAACAAAAAGTTTATTTTAATTTATCATCACAATTTTAAAATCTATATGCGGTGGCTGGAACTCGGAGTCATTGTTACCAAATTGTATAATTTTTATTGTTAAATTTATTTAAAAATAATTATGTGAGTAACTACAAAAGAAATGGAAATTTTTGTCACTAATAAAACAATAATATGTCAAATAATTGTCTCAAATTTGTAATTTATTGATAAAACATCACCAGTTAAAAAAAAAATGTCAAATAATGACTTTTAAAAATTAAAAGTGACATTCCAAAAAATTATTATTGTTGCAAATATTTATTTTTTATTTAATAATTTTTTTTTGTTTTTCTTTTTTCTCAAATAATATCAATTTTGTTTACTGATTAAAAAGCAAAAATATTGAACTTTATTAAATAATTAATATAGAAAGTAAACAATATCAAATGTTTAATGCATAATACTAGATCTATTATATGGAGTCCAGGATTTTACATACAAATGTCGATCTTTTATTGAAATTATTTTAAATTAAATTTAATAAATAAGTTTAGAGTGTAATAAAAGCAGGACTTAAATTGTGATAAATCGATCACCAGTCACTGATTGCTGAATTGAATGATATTCCATATTGCAATTTTCAATTGTATAGAGAAAAATTTATTATTATAAATTTTGTCTTATGAAATGGGCGCTTTAATAATATGGAAAGAACGTGACTACATATCGTTTTCAAAAAAATTTCTTAATATTTTGATTGATAATTTAATACGAAATTTAGAGTTTACATTTTGTTTTTTATCATGGTCTCTCATCTGATAAGATTTATTCGATTTGGAAAATTCTATCAAATTAAAATCAAATAGAAATCTGCGTCTCATTTATGATATTACGTATTTTTAATCGCTTTTGCAAAAATGTGACCTTACCATAGTTATGCGGTTAATAAAATCGAATTAGAATAGATAATACGTAATAGCCTTAGTTTATCTCATTTTGGTCAAAGTGGCAACACTGCGTTCCACTTATGTACATTTTAAAATTACTCATGATCTTATATATGTATGTAGTTTGTAAAAGGATGGTCTTGTTCGGTGTTGAGTAAAACATAACCTTAATTTTTTTGATATAACCATTTTTCTTTCTTGTTTTTTTTTTTCAAAACACTTGT